TCAGATTATGAATGGAGCGAGAGTTTTAAAACGATGTTTATGTGCGTGTATGATTTTTGTTTGTACATAAAGACACTTTTTAACAGAAAACATGTTCAAATTATCAACGTCGTAGAAAGTTTCTGGTACTAAAATGGATCCGGTTTATAAATTTAGGATTCAAAAATGGAAATTTCTCAGAACTTATCAAAATATAACGGCTAAAAACAAAAATGTTTTCACAAAGTCAATTTTTGAAGAAAACATTTTTTTTTATCAAAAATATATTTAAGTTACAATTATTTTTAGAAGCATTTGAATTTTAAACGATAACAAAATTTTTCAAAATCGTGAATTATATTGTAAACATATAATAACTTAACGACCGTCTACAGTCAGGACTGTTTCTTATCGTGTACCTATAATAATTTATCATTGAATTCAAATTTAACACATCCATTACAGTGACCTACTAAACTACAAGGTACGATTGACGTCTACATTAAAGCAAAGCGGTAACAAGTCTGTTTTATCTTATTAATTGTTATCATATAATAGTCGTATAGATTGAGATTATTTTTTTTCTACTAAAAATCTTCGATATTGGCTATTGCTGTAAGTTTCTACTCCTCATATTTGCTTTTTAATTATTTTTATTTTTTATTTTTACTAACTTCATAGAAAATTTTAATACTCTTAAATTTAACGCCATGTAAGCCTAATTTATTCTAATATTTGAAAAAAAAAAAAAACTATATTCAGTCTTATAAATAGAAATACTTTGAAAACGATTTTAAATATTATAAACGTATTATAATTATGACTATTTCATGTATCGTTAATATTATTGCTGTATAATGCTAATTTTTCTACAAAACAGCGATAATTATAATAATATTTTACTCAATAATCTACCATTTATTTTTTTGTTTATCGGCTATTGTACCATATATTTCGTATGTTATATTACTATGTATGACTAATTAGAATTCAAAATTTAAAAGTCAACATATTATATTATCAGTGAACAATTCTGTGCGTGATAGGTGGTTTATAAAATATTAACATCATGCGTAATTGACAATTCCACTTCGTGGTTATGTTATTAACTTATTGAGAGTTGAGGTGAATTTTTAAGTAAATAAATTATTTTTGGAATATAAATGTTATACTTTTTTTTATCGAATTGGTTAATCCATTAAAAATTTGAATACTTTGGTTAAATCCAGATAAGAAAAAAAATAACCTCATCTTTTTTAGGTGAAAATCCTTCCTTATTTTCCATTCAAGTTCTTAAGTCGCTAACCGTGTTTATATATTCTCAAAGGAGTTTAATGCCTATAATTAACCTTAGTTTGTATCGACCTGAATGGAAGTAACATTTTAAGCGGTCGTGGTAGAAGATTTGTTTTCTCAATCTATCACTCCCGTAACATATATCTAGATGAATAAAATTGTGATCTACACTTTCATGATTATTACTCTTAAGTCGAGTTTAAGGTGTTTATGTAAATGAAATAATTATAAATATAAAAAATCAAAAATACCTGACTTTTACTGAGTCGTTGATTTTTTTAATTTTTTTTAAACAACAGTTTTTAGTGAATTAAATTTTAAAATAGAAAAACCTTAGAAAATATTCCATGTATGATAAAAAAAAAAAAAAATAATTAATATCAAATATTTGTTCATAATAATGAAAGATGTTCTAGTTAAAACATTGTATACTTGTATACTTGAATTTAAAAAAAAAGTAGCATAATCGTGAAAATGCAGAGCGCGATTCGCGATAATATAACTTTATAATATAAAATATGACATGTAAAACAAAGCCATGAAAATAAATCTACTATCGTTAAACAAATCCTAAAAATCTAGTTATTTAGGTATAGCTATAGCTCGGAAAATATAGAAACGATTTTTATATAATCTTATATTATTTGGTTCAGGGTATATATTTGTTCAGAATTCAACTATGACTGAATGCCTGATGTATGAATAATATTTGAATAAGTGTACGTTACTTTTAAACTCCCTTGACAGATCCACAAACAAAACTATCTACCACTATAAAACCATACTAAAAGTAGCCGGAAACGATTACTTTGTTTACTATAAGTTAACTCTAACTTTTCTGTTATCGGTTGTAGCATAACATTCTAGAATCAAAATTTAAGAAAAATAGTATATCAAAAAATAATATAAATTGTAAAACTTGTACACTATGTATACAAATCACCAGTGCGATTTCACTGCATGTTTACATGACAGACCGAAATTCAAGAATTTAAAAGTTACTATCATTTAAAATACTAAACATTTTATTTAATAGATTCATACAATAAAAACATGGTTTAATGCTTAAATAAATAAATATATAATTTCACGATGTATTTTAAATTATGTTTGTTTGTAAACATGTTTTTATTAAACATTACTAGTATTATGTACTATAAATGTTTCAAACATACAACTTTAAATGAATACATTAATTTATATCTAAAATATGGAGTCACTTAAATATCATAAAATATTAGATAATTTATTTTTAATCGTAAACATTTCAACGTGCAAATTTAATCAACTTTTAAATTAATAGGTACCAATAGTATAATAGTGATTAATTATTTAAGTCTGTTATATTTTCAAAATTAAAAATATACAAAAAAAAAATATAATTTTATTTTTTAATTTAGAAAAAATTGAATTTTCTTCAATTATTACAAATGCATATAGGAAGAACGAGGTAAGAAAATTGATTAATAAATGTTAAAGGTTCAAGTAATAGAACAAAGTGTTTGAGTGATAGATGTTTAATTTATAACTAAAAATAAATCGATGTTTAACGCGTTTAAGACGTTATTGTTGACATAAAATTATAAGTTAAAACATTTTCCATACCTACTTAATACTTACAAGCAGCAATTTTATAAAACATGATTAACTTAGCATTTAATTTGATATATTAAACCTTTACTGTTGCATTTGATTGCATTTAGTTAGATAGACATTGTGTTGAATTATAAATACAAGGTTTTATTCCAGTGTTTGGAGTCTTGTATTTTGAAAATAACGATACTATGCAATGTACATAGATATATAAAAATGTCTACAATAGCCATTTGTCACCACATTAAATGATTGTTTTTTAAACATATTATTTATATGTACTGACATTAGAACGTCCTAAAACCATAATTTAGTTATGACAACATTTCCAATACAATTTAATTAAAAATTAAGTTTCATGATACAGTTGAAAAATCTTGGTGAATTATAATAATATTATTATGCGCAGTATTTAAAAAAAATAATTTGGTTAAATTTAAAACTGAACAGTAATTAAATATTTCTGAAATTCATGTTCAATAACCTCTGCCAATTGTAATAACAAACATTAAAAAACTACATGGTAAAAATATACATCCTTGTATTTCGTATGATATAACGCCTTTGCATTTTAACACTGATCAAAATATATTTTTAAAATAGTACTTTTGTTTGACAATTATTAAAGCATTCAGCCTAATTTTATTCATAAATAATATGGCAATAATAATAAAACCGTGACGGTTTTGAACAATATTAACCTGTATATTATAACATAACGATGGTTGTAGTTATGAAATTAATACCGTACATAATCAAAATTAACCTCTGTCACTTTTTTTTTAGTTTCTACAGTATAATCGTGGTTCGAATGACGTGAATAAGTACAATAATAATAATAATAATAATTAATCCTTGCAGCCAAACGTGATCTGATATTCATTGTTATTGTTGTTTTCTCCCGACAACATTTTCCTGACTCAAGTAGTCATATCTGTTCAAATGCCAACGTTTTATCTAATAAAACTATTGATAAGGTCCTGAGTACAAAACAATAAAATAGGTACGCTGAAAAAATGTGTTTCATATTGAAATTCATAATCTTCAACCATGTATTTCAATGTAATTATTGTTAGCTGTTTTCGAACACCTTGTGCGTAGGAGTAGTGTTCAATGTTCATAATTTTTAATGATGCAAAAACGTTAAGATACTATACATATGCATATATTATATTATGTGTACTCGTATATTGTACTTTGAAACACCGGATACCTCTAAAACCACATTTATTTTAATTAAATTTTAGAAATTTAGCTGTTGGTAGAATAATCATCTGAAATCGATTATTTTTTATGAAAGGCGTCTGGATTAAATTGACATTCTTTTTTATCTTTTTTATTTATTTATTTGTTTTTTTTTTTTTTTTTTTATTTATTGTTATTAAAATGCCCTTTTTCTAATTATAAGCACAAACTATACTACAATATTTGCAATTTTATCGAGAACCTTAAACGTTATTTTTTTTTCAAATTTATAACAGCACTCTTCATAATATTGTAGTATTTATTAATATTTTCTTTTTTTATTTTTTTAAATACTCTTCCTATGTTTGTTCGTTTATTTTAAAATGTCGATCCCTTTTTGTACCGTAATTGTAGCATTATTATTGCGGCAGTCAACAATTCATTTTATCTCTTCACTACACGCATGCGAAAACGTAGACTTAAAATAATAATTACGGCCAGTAATCTATTGGATGTTAATAACGTTAACCTTTTTAGAAAAATACATACCATTGTGCGATGTTTATAATATTAAATCATGTATTTAATATTTTAATAAATATTTGTATGTATTTTATAGCCTATAGGTTTAGCGTAGAATGATATTAAATAAATTAAAATCTAATCAAAATATACAATACGAATGAATCATACAATATTGTGATTAGTTGTATGACTTTTTACATGGAATTGTTTTTACTACTCTATATAGGTACTAGTATATAAAATATTTGTTTATGGTTTTTTAACACATAATCTATACATTTTGAATATTTATAAACAAAAACACATTTTTTTTCAGTCAAACACAATACGCCTATGATAAGGGTTGTTTTTGATTTATTTTACTTTAATTATAGTACCAATATTTTTGAATTCCCACAATAAAACTAAGTAAATTGTTTTTATATAACTACTTTGCTCGTATTCTAAATCTTTATAGGACAATAATAATAATAATTATAATTTCACAATATTTGGTGTTGTTTCAGACGTTTATATTTAGCTGGGTACTGTGTTATAAAATATGAAAAATAATTATGTGCACATTTTATCAAAAAACAAAAATTAAATAAATAAACAGAATTATTTCGATTTGTTTAAGTTTTCTAAGAATTTCTCCTCATATTTTCCTTCTGGGTCAAAAAATTTGGAAAGTCGTTCGTAGTCATTGGGACGACGAGACTTCATTAAGTCAATTGCTTTTTTCATCATGTTCTTTTGCTCTTTGGTACATGACGAGCAACTATCTTTGACTAACATAGGTAACATTTCTAAAAAAAATACATACAATCATATATTAGTTTAATGAGCTATAAAATATGACCATTCTCTCGGAAACCGATAGACATGGGCTTGAAAAAAAAAAAAAAACAATAAATGATATACTATTTTTCTAAAGGAGTTAGTATTTTAGTAAGAATAACAATTGGCTAAAAGCTTTATACATCATTTCCTATTTTTGTCGAACTAAAATATAGAATTTATTGATACGTGTAATAAAAATTCATTTCAATAACGTCTTTGATTTTAATGATATTACGGATTTTTGATTATGATTATACGTAAACAACTGTTTAAATATTATTGAATTTTATATTATATTGATTAATATTAGAAATCAAAATAAAGATATTATTAAAATTGAAAACATGTGCATATAATTATATGCATTTTATACGCATTTTAATTTTCTGCGCTCAAATTAAACCTGTTGATTAATAATACTGCATAAAAGAAAAAAAAAACAGAAAGATCTAGAGAATAACAAAAAATGTCAAAAATTACAATTTGTTTTGCTGATTATTTTTTACATAAGTTTAATTTTCTTTAAACATTTAATAATTTTAAAAAGTATTATACATTTTGTTTTACACTTTAGAGCAAGATGGTTATTAGTTATTTATTTATAGGTACAGGTAGTAATATTTTTAGCAGAAAAAAAAGTAATTATGTTATGTATCTATCTATATAATACTAGTTTATATTAAGCTACTTAGTTAACAGATACTAATTTAAAAGAAGAAATGTAAAATAAAAAATTGAAACGAAATTCATTCAAATGTATTTATTCATAATTCATTGTTGTTGTAACATTATGCTAATGTTAATGATTATTAAAAAAAAAAAAAAAACAATGGTAAAGGATTTAGGCTCAAATGATTCGAGTTCTAAAATTAGGTTTATTTGGTATTACATAAATTAATAATTCATATTATCTTTCTGTGACGTCTTCGATTGTCGTCGTATCTACTTATTTAATAGTGGGATTTTGAATTTTTAAAATTGTTCAAAATATTATAGAAATAAAAAAGGTTGATTATCTGTAAATATTGTATTCGATTTAAATGTTACTATTTAACTGATAAACAATAATCACAGAATTGTTTGATTAAATTTTTATTGTTTAGTGGCAACAATTATTTGCTTATTTGCTAATTATTTTTTTTATTTTTTTTATTTTTTATTTTTTACTTTTTTATTTTTTTTATTGATTTAATAAAAATCGTTACGGAACAAAGCGATTTTATCAAAATAGCATTGATTCCGTCATAAAATTATAATGTATAATTAGTAATAGCATACATCGAACCTATTTTTGTTTCTTATGTCTGTATACACCTAATTTAAGATATTTTTTAAAGGAATTTCAGTAAAGTTTGAGTTTTAAAATAAATGAAAAACATACCATTATTTAGCGTTATGATACGTAAAGTACAGCTTTTTTCATAACTGCTGATGATTTCCGCACACCCCCGGAATTTTACGTTCTCATATTGCAGAAACGTGTTTTATTTTTATTTTTTTATTGCATTTATTTTATTACAATATTATGAAAGTACGAAGTGTTAAAATAAAAAAAAAATTTTCGATGATAAAGTAATCAATTGAACTGTGTTTTCGTCGCAAATTATACGGCATAAATAATATATTTATTTTGAATGCATACACGTTTCTGTAACGAATAATTATCACTATACTTCATAAATAACGACTGTACTAAAAAATGATACGAACATAATATTTGCGAATTAAATGTGTGTAGTTTTAATACCACAGCTGAACAACCTTTGCATACTTATATAATCCTCTTTACTATATTATTATGTATACACATAACGTTTTATAAAGTACAATTAACCGACAACAGTTTAATTTTTGATTACTTTTGCCGTGTCTAAAAATCTATATTTTAGATACAAAATGTTATAAATTATTACGATAATATGCATTGTATCTTTATTTAATGAAAATATCAATATTAACGTTATTGTCGGTAATATGTGTACAGTTTTACCAGTAATCATAATATTAAATGTTTATTTGTTTTTAACATAATACACTAATTTTACAACGTGGTTTTGTTAACTAGTTTCTTTGCTTTTAAAGCTTTTTAAGTATAATAAAGTAAACCTTTAAAGTGAACACAATAATAATGCTTTATAACACGAAAATCCATTAGGCTGTATACCTCCCTTTGAGCTGAATATAGCATTTATATCAAATGATAAATTGTAACTGATATTTATGTAAATTTTAATAATAACAACTACTTAACCGACGCGATGCATGGAAGATTTCGGTAATCAATCATAGTAACTATTGAGTGATTTAAAGTTTTTAATCATGTAAATATTAAACAAACAAAACTTTTATAATCGATTAAATTGAATTTAAAACGTTTATTGGAGTTTTGTTTTTCTATTAATACAAGAGTTACGTTTAGCATAAAGATCAGTAAGAAGTTGTGTACAAGTACAAAAGTAAGATCCCGTTCGAGTCGTTAGCCAATAACAAACGAAATATCTTTGATTATTCATTCGAGTACGCCCGAAACTTCTCATAGGTTGAAAATTAGATCTGGTGAAATTGTTAGTATACAGTTTGTTCAACGTGTATGTGTATTTATATATTCTGTACTAAATAATAACAGTTTCAGACTGAAATCATTTAAACATTGAAAAATCAACTATTTTTACCAGAACTAGTGCCATACCTATATTAAAATATATTTGAATTGGTTTTTATTATAAGAAAAATGTTAGGCGAAAAAAAAAATACTAATTTTTTAAAAAAAATGTCCATTAATATTTTTTTTCACTTAAGCATATTTTTTTCTGGATTAAATACATATTTTTACAATGATGTTGTCAACCTCAAAATAATAAATATTTTTTTTAAATGTTACTCTAACTTATAACTTTTATAATTTAAGTCAAGTAAGGATTTTTTGCTTGTATATGGTTAATTAGCAATATATTTGTCATTTGAGTAGGAAGGATGACGCAATGTTCGTTATAACTCTTTGATATTTATTTTTAAATTTGATATAACAGTTTCACGATAACTTTGACTTACTAAGTGTTACAAAAATATGTGGTCTTTTGATATCTTTTAACTATTTTGCCAATGCAAAAATACAAATAATTATCTAATTGAAATAATATTATGTTTATGGTTATCTATGATGACTAAAATATTTGTATATTGAAATATTCATTGACTATGCATACAAATAGCCTTCCTTCATTTTTTTAAATCACATGTTAAGGTAATATCTAGTAAGTTTAACATTAAACAAAAAAAAAAAAATATCGGAACGTATATATAATATTTTGTTTACTAAAGAAATGTTATTTTTTATTTGTTACTTGTTAGTATATTCCTATTATACGATAGTGAGGTTATTATACTTTCATTGATTCGTAGTTCAAACCGTATACATTCTTACTTTTTATTTCTTTAAGTTGGGTTATGCACGGTCCTTCATTCATAAAACATTTGACATTACTCGACATCAATCTAGTGTTGTTCATCATTTGGTCAATGTTGATTTTCTCCATAATTGACATATATTTTCTGATCTCCTCCCCGATAACCGGTTGAGAATCCTCGTTCTTATCCACGGGCTTTACTATATCGTCTCCTTCAACTGCGAAGATTGGCACGCCTGCCATAGTCATGAGCACGAACACAGATATAAACATTTTTGAGCACATTTTGTTATTATTTCAGTGTATGTTTTTCTCACATGGATTTATGTTTATCAGTGTAAAAGATACTCGAACGAAGTTAAAACACTTTGAAATCGCTATACTTACATGCGCTCATATTTATATACAACTTTTAGGCGCTTGTCCAATTGTCAAGGTCGAGTGTTGATCATCTGGTCCGGGTAATGATGGAAAATTATTATCTAATTAAAATCCTTCTGTTTGCGTCGTCAATCGCAAAGTCTGATAGGAATCTTGTGACCTCGAGCACACAGATAATAATATTAAATAGGTATACCATAAAAAACGAGTTGCATTAAATTATTTTAATTATAAGTTTTAATTTATTGTAACTACAATATACATTCATTGGGTATGTAAAATGACAACACAATACATTTTTTGTCATCTAAGCTTATGTTTATAAACCATATAAAATGTCCGTATTTAGTAAGTTGAATCGATGGTGAATGACAAGAATAATTGTTATGGGCGATGATACATCCGTTACATTGCACACGTTGTGTCGATCGTATTTTTATGATAAACAATACATATTCAAAGTGGGTAGTAATTATTAGTGTTCTTAGTGATTTTTTTTTTAAATAAAAACAAATATCTTAAAATTGTTTATTTTTTTTATTAAAAATTACATTTTTACGTTATTGAAACTAGTACGTGACTTTTTCTATTTTATTAGAACAAAAAAAAAATAAAAAAAATGTATACAAATTGACTTAAAAATAATAATAATAACACGATTTACAAACAAAGACTTTAAAAACTTAATGATTATTTATATTTTGTGCATTTACTACCAAAACAAATTTTAAAAATTCAACATTTTTTTTTAAATACAAACAATTTATAATTTGTATAAACAGTTTTCAGGAAATTTAATTTTTCCCAACTTATTCTTAATTAACGACTTAAAAATAATTGCTTATAATTTTAATTTATTTTGTTCAAAAATAATATCTATGAATATTTTCAACATGATATAAAATAAAACTATGGTTTTAATTTATTTTTACGTTATATCTGTTACATTTTCATTTTTAGTTTCTCTTTTAATTATAACTATAAAGATGATGTTTTTTTTAATAATATTATTTATTGATTATATTGACAAAATAATAAATTCTTAAATTATTCGCAAAGTTAACTTAGTTGTATTCAAATTTCACAATTTATAAAATATGTTTATCTTATATATATTATATACACCATAACTATACATAATATATATTGTTAAATTGTTTTAAATTATTATATTTTATGATAATTTTATTACTGAGAGTTATCTTAGATCTATGTTTAAATAATAATAACAATTTATCAATTTAACTTAATATGAGTGTAATTTATTTTTCTAAATATAAACTAATTATTTATATATAATTGTTTAAATTAATTTATAATAAATTTTTAATATTTTTATAGATATTATTTACAGATAAATATGTTAAAAATATATATTTCCAATAAACAAAATTAAAATATCTTTAATAATTGTATACCACATATTTGTATGTAAAAGTATTTATAAAATTTAACTTACGTTAATTTTTATTTAATTGTATAACAAATCATCAAAATAGCATAAAATAATTCTTTACTCATTAATCTAAATTATAATAAGTTTTAATCAAAACAATATATTTGCATATAAACAATAAAAAAAAATATTCACTTAATAACTTTTTCACTATTTAAAATCAAATAATTCTTTTAGATGCCAATAAACCCGTTACAATTTTATTTAATCTTTGAAAAAAGGCTGATACTTAAAAATCTATTAAATCATATTTTTACTAATAAGATTTTACCAGAATCACACTTTGGTTTTGTTCAGCATATAGTAAAATGTATTAGGTACATAGATTACTTGACGCAATTTCATTTTCTCAAGAAATAAAGTATTATTACACTTGCGCTTTTCTTGACATAAGCCAGATGTTTGGTAGAGTTTGGTATGAAGGATTACTTTTCAAATTACAATAATTTCTCTTCCTTTTTTTATTCATTTTACTTAAATCTTATTTAAAGGAATGTCACTTTCAAATTTAATTTGAATTCTAAGCCTCAAAAATTGAGAAAAATTTTGGTGGTATTCCCTAGGATAGAATATTTTCTTCCCTTTTTTTTAATTATCTATACTTCAGACTATTATATCTCCCAAAATATGATTGTAGCCGATTATGTATATGACAAAGCAGTTAAATCGATAGATAAATCCCCTGTTATTTAAAGATTCACAAATCTTCAGAATCATTTCAATTCAATGTCTAAATAGTACAAAATACTCGTATTAAAAATTAAATTTAATCCAAATAAATTAGTACATTAAACATTTAAACTTTTTACTCTTTTCACTCCAATTTCTGTCTTTATATTTTTATATTTTTACATCTAACACTGTTAGATATGTCTTACGACTTGATTTGAATAAACGCCTAAACATATAACTTAGAATATCCATACAAGTATCAAGAGACAAACCTTTAATGTACGTCTCCATAGGTTACGTACCTTACTGATAAACATCAAATATTCTAAATTAAAAGTTAAGTTCTTGCGTACAAAACATTACTCAAATACTATGGTACTATGGCCTCTAATTATGGGGTATTAAAAAAGTTTCAAATACCAATAAAATACAACAGTTCCAGAATATTGCCCTGAGGAAAATAACAAATTTACCATTGTTCATATCAAATTAAACATTATATAAAGACCTTTTAATGAAAAATGTGGTAGATGAAACTGTATGCTACTATAAAAATGTTCACAATCATCTTCAAGCACACCAAAATCCACTCATAAAAAACCTTTCAAAGTAAACCCATACCTGGTAACTCAAGGCGTCATTAAAAAAAGTAGTAGTACCAGGACTTGTTACAAAATTAAAAAAAAAAAATAAATAAATATAAAAAACAGATAATTAAAAACTACTCCCGTTTAAGTGTCACTAATCAATGGATTTTACTCCAAATAAGCATGTTGATCTTTTTTTCTTCTCTATATCTTCATTAATATATATATTTTATTGAACTGTATTTTAATTGCTCATGTTGAACTGAAGTATGGTATAAAATATAAATTATTTAATAAAATAAAATAACAGAGTATAGAATACTAAGAAATAACTAGAAACTAAACAAAGTAAAAAAAATTAAAATAAGGCAATGAAAATAATTAATAGATAATGTGTTTATTCATTTTGAAGAGAAGATTTCATGCAACATTGCATTTAAAATAATATTATCGATTTATTTTGTTTAGCAAAATATTTTTCTTCAAATTTTCTTATTAATAATATACTTTTATATTAATTAATCTAACACAATTTTAATACTTTTAAACTTTTTTTAACAATAATACAATAGTATTGTATTAAAAATCCTTGAAACTAAGTAATTAGTCGAGAAAAGTTTCAATGATTTGTAAATATATACAATTTTTAAATAAATTATTAATTTTCTTATTTTCAAAGATAATAAAATATTGAAAATATTTAGTTTTTATTGTTTTTTTTTGTAAAGACTTTGGTAATTCAAACTTTTTCGTGATAATATCTTCAATATTTTTTTTTTTTTTTATAGTGTAATAAAAAACTACCTACTCGTATAAATAGTTGTTTTTTTTATTTCCGTAGAACGAAAAACTTTATTTTTATTTTCACAAAACTAATTTATACTTTATACAAAATCTCTTCTGAAATCTAATTTGAAGAATACAATTGAACATTTGAACTATACAAATATTATTTTAAACGATATATTATTACAAATTGTCTATACCTACGGCATGCATACTTATTTGTTTAACCCAAAGTGTGCATAAAATAGATTTTGTATTGAATATTTTTTTAACCTATTTGGTAGCATAGTATATCAATTCTGTGAACTTAGCGATGCTCAATATAAAGACAAAGATATTTTATTTTTGTGGAATACGGAATGTTGTAAACATTTTTTGTAATACCAAAAAGGTATGTACCTAAAAATACATTTAAAATTAAGTAAAATTATTAAAAAATATTTATTGGTGGTTTTATTATGTAAATCAACATTCTATTAATTTGATTAATCAGAGTATATCATTATCTCGCATGAAAATAATGTATATGACTATAATATAACTGTATTTTTTTTAAATATTATTTTTAAATCATATTTAATAAAAATATACAATTAAGTACTGCTCTACTGTACATTAGGTGTCACTATTATGTTTGTATGTGTGTGAACTCTTTACTACATAATATAGTAACAGATCTGCTACACCATATTTGTGTGGATATTTAATGCGTAAGGCTAAACTGTATGTCATAAAACGTGTATATTACTAATCTACATACATCATAGAGTTGGAACAAACTTGATTTTTCAATGAGGCAATAATATTTAGGTGTTTATTTAGTGTATAGAAGTTGGCAGTCACGTATAGAAGCATACTAGTCTGAAAACAGCTGTTATTATTGAATATTTTCAACGTTACTATTCTTATCAGACCAACGAAAAAAATTTCTTCCACAAGCTTATTTTGTTAAATATGTAGACACTATGGTGTTTTAACTTTGTGAGTGATGATAAACTAGAAAATCGACGAATTTCATATGTGCATAATATGTGCTACACGGTGTGGAACGAGTACTTTACGTTATTGATGGCGTCGCGTGGTAAACTACAGGCTATAATGTTATATTTTAATTGTATTAGTATTCTAGTTGCTAGTTGCGTTCGTTAATCGTTTCGTTTATAAATACGTTACCTAATTTTTTGAACGTTTTCTAATTATTAATTTCAGTTTTTTTTTTTTTTTTTTTTTTATTACTAATTGTCATTACAAATAAATTAAACGATAATATTATATTTATTATTCATATTTACCAGTTAATGAATTGTTTGTAATGGCCAAAAAGCTGTCCAATAGTTTCATAGAAAATCGTTTATTTTTGGATTTACCCAGTGAACAAAAGATGAATTGAAACACTAGAATATTGATGAAATTTATGTTGATGACAACATGGATTGTTTAGATATATTATATGAAAATGATTTTCTTGACATGAT